GCATGGCCACTACTGCGGCCATGTAACATTATATGTTATTCATAACCAGCAATAGAAAAATTGTCTATGGTTGCCTTTTTGGCAGATCTGAGTGTTGGGATAAAATCCCAAATAGTAATTGTGGGTCTGGTGTCAAAATATTGAATGTAATCAAGTAGAGAGAGAGAGTAATGTGGAAACCATATGCCCCACAGCTAGGGAGGAGGGTGTGAAATGGGGGGTATACCGGGGGTTTTGGTAGTGGAAAATGGGCACTGGTGAAGGGACAGGTGTTTCATATTGTATGACCGAGACTTAAACTGTAAGTTTTGTAACTGCTCTCATGGTGATTCAATAAATAAATTTATAAAAAGGGAAAAAAAAAAAGTAAGGTGGAATTCATGCCCAATCCAATCAGCCTAATCAATGTCTGAATAATTAGCAATATTCCAACATTAGAAAAAGATCATCAATGTGTACAATTAAAATTAAACTGTTGATTTTATCCCCAAAAAATCATTTTTTCAAAATCTGGTTTCTTATAGACAATATACAGTTGGTCCATATTTCTTCATTCACTTAACAATCTTTTTCTTTGTTAGTTTGCAGTGAATAAGATCAAACTCAAGTTCTCACACATGCAAGGCACATACTCTACTGCTGAGCCACATCCCTGGCCTAATCTCATTTTAACAAGTAAACTAAAAACTAAGACTACTGATATTGAGTGATTATTGATACAGTGGACTTAAGTATCTACCATATTTGCTATTGTTTATTTTTTTACCCCCTTACTTTTTGTTCCTGTTTTTGCCTTCTACTCTTTTTCTGCCTTGTTGTTTTGAGTGTCTCATATGATTCTATTTTCTCTCTCTTGTAAGTTTACTAGATATGAGTTTTCTTCTTTTTGTATGGTTGTTCCAGTATTTACAATAAAAATTTATAAATAATTCAAGTGTATTTTTAAATAACAGTATAGTACTTCAGAGTACAATTTCCTAATAATAGCAAATATTTCTAATTCCTCCCTCCTATCCTTCCTATTTCAGTTATATTATTCATTTCAGTTATATTTGTATATGCATATTTGTTTATATGTTCCTTCTCTATGAAGAACTTCTTTTGATGTTGCTCATGAAGCATACTTGTTGGCAATAAAGTTCTCTAATGCATGGTGTTCTCTGAGCTTCCTGGATTTCTGTTTTGTTGTTAAATACTTTGGGGGAAATTCTCAGTCATTATTGCTTTAAATGTAGCTTCTGTTACTTTCTCTGTTTCTTTTTCTGGAATTCTAATGATGTGTATATTACACTTTTTGTAAGTGTTTCCCATTTAAAGTTTTTTAATATTCTACAGAGTTTTTTTAAAAATCTTTTTTTTTTCAGTTCTGGAAGTTCCTACTATCATATCCTCAAACTCAGATATTCTTACTTCAAGCTTTTTTTTTCATCAGATCATCAAATACATTCTACATTCTGGTCAGTGTTCCTTTTTTAATTCTCTAGTATTTAAAAAAATTGGGGCCAGAGTAATAGTACAGTGCGTAGTGTGTTTGCCTTGCAAATGGCCAATCTGGGTTGGACCCACAGTATCTCTTATGGTCGCCAAGAACCACAAGGAGTAACTCTTTAGTGCAGAGTCAGGACTAACCCGTGAGCATCCCTGGGTGTGACCCCAAAACCAAAACTAAATAAATTAAAATTTATTTTGTATGTTTCTCCCTCTTTTATATTGCTTCTTTGTCCTTTCATGTTGCCCACTTTTTCCTTTAATTACTTTACCATGTTAATAAGTTAATTTTAATTTATTATTTGATCATTTTAATACAAGTACTATAATTTTCATGTTTCTTGCCTTTTAGTATGTCTTGTAAGTCTTTGCTTAAGAATGGACATGATATTGCAAACCATAATGCCCAAAAGCAGAGAGAGAATATGGGGAATATTGTCTGCCATGGAGGCAGGGGGAGGGTGGGAAGGGGGGCGAAGAGGTATACCAGGGATATTGGTGGTGGGGAATGTGCACTGGTGGAGGGATGGGTGTTTGATCATTGTGTGATTGTAACCTAAACATGAAAGCTTGTAACTATCTCACAGTGATTCGATAAAAAAAAAAAAGAGTGGACATGATGGGGCCAGAAAAATAGTACAGGGATTAAGGTACTTGGCTTGTACACAGTCAACCTGAGTTTTATGCCAGGTACTCCATATGGTCCTCCAATCCCGCTAAAAGTGATGCCTAAGTACAGAGGCAGGAGTAAACCGAAACTAAAGCTGGGTATGACCCAAATCAACAACAACAAAATTAATGAATTTGATATTCCAAGTAAAATGACATAATGTAAGGGGACTTTTAGTCAAGTATTATAAGGTTTGAGTGAGAGAGATGAACAATGTTCTGCATCTAGATTATTAGGTCTCTTTGGTAAGCCAGTGCCCATGAACTAGAAAGTTCACCAATGTGTCTCAATATTTCCTTCACCAAATGAACACAATGACCAGTTGAAACCGGATATGAATATTTTTCTTCCCCTCTTGGAGAGAAGAGGTGACTAGAAATCGGTTTTTCCCATCCTCAAGGAAAACTAGATTCTGATAAATATCCTGCAATTTAGACTTTAGTTAAATACTTTCTCCTGTAGGGCAGATATTATTAACAGTCAAGTGTATTTCTGATTCCTTTTCTCCTCCCACTATTGTAAACAGCAGATTTTTCTCCAACAATGATAGGAGGATCCAACAATTTTCCTGAAGCTAAAACTCATAAAAGGGTAGAGGCCTATGATGTGTGATGATCAAGTTCCTTTGAGTTTTCAACTCTCATATTGTTCATACAATTTTCAACCAAATTTTTGGGTTCCTGAGCTGGCACAGGTTCTCAGGGACATTTCTGTTCATATTTTCCATGTGGTAAGTCATTCTGTCTCCACCTGTCTTTCCAAGTTTTGTTGCAAGTTTTTTTCTGTAACTTTTCCTCTCTGACTGACATATAAAAAGAGTTACTAATTTTTCATTTCTCAGTTTTTCACTTCTTATTGGGATAAAGTGGTGGGTGATCTGTAGGTTTCTTAAATGTTAGACTGGAAACTGTTAAGTCCTCTAATTATTTTCAAAATGGTTTAAGACACTGGGCTTCTAAACAATATTCTGCATTGTTGACTATGCCCCTAAGAGAGAAGACACTCCTCTCTTAGTCTAAATGTTATAATATTTTGCATATTTTTATTCACTCTGGTCACCTCTTTCCTTCCTAGCTGACTTTCCTGAGATTTACAAGCATTATTTTACAATGGTTTTTGTGGGAGGGTGGGGGCGGGGAGGGAAGGAACTTCCGAAGGTGCTCAGTGGACAAGGGTCACCCCCTGCCAAAATTCTTGGTCAACTGGGCCTGGTGCTTGGGCCACACTCAGCAATACCAATGAACCATATGGTACTGAGCTGCATGTAGGGTATTATCCTTACTATCTGTAACACAAGGAACTGTATCCTTACTATCTGTATTATAAAGTACTACTATCCAGGAGTTATCTATAGCTTAAACCTTGTACTATTCCTCTAGCCCCTACTTTCCAAATTTTCCTAGTGCAGTTCTTTTTCCTTTCTTTTTCCTTTTTTTTCCTGGGTTTGGGCTATACCTGGTAATACGTAAGCTCAGGGATTACTCCTGGGTCTATGCTTAGAGATCATCCTTGACAGGCTCAAGGGACCATGTGGGGTGCCAAGGATTGAACCCTTGTTAGTCACATGCAAGGCAAATACCCTATCTGCTGTACTATCACTCTGGCCTTAAAGCTGCATCTTCTTCACTCTATATATACCCTTTCCAAATAATTTTATTTCTATAAAATTATTTACATTATTGTACACCCTTTATCTGTTTGTTTGACCTGCATATGGATAGTCAAAAAAACACTTTCAACATTTTCATTTTCATGTACCCTCAGATCTCCTGCCTTTCCTATCACATTAAAACACACATACGTCCACCGAAAATGCTTAAGACAAAACCCTAGAAGTCTTTCTTCAAATTTAAATGTCTCACTTATTCATTCTTTACATTAAAACAATGAGATCCACAGGCAAAACTGATCTTTACGTTTTGTATGTATTTCTCCTTCTCTCATACAACATATATATCTAATATGTCAAAACCACAACAATCTTGCAACAAAGAATACAGAGTTCTTCCTCTTCCTGGGTTCGGCAGACTGAGGAAGCCCCTTCTAACTGACTCTCAAATTCTTAAAAATATATATATATATTGTAAAAAAATAAAGAATATAGGGTTTTGATCCAATCCACAACAAACTGCCACAAGTTTTTCAGTGATTGATTTACATCCAAACCTCATTTTTTCAACTATGAAATAAATTTAAAAAAACCAATTTCCTGACAGGATAATGTAAAGATATAATTAATAAAAGTTTTAGAATAATTTTTATTATGTAGCCACTCAAAATAACAGTTCCTGTTATATACAAAATAAAGTCAAAATTCCTCCCCTAGAGGATAGAGAGATAGTACAAGGGTTAAGGTGCTTCCTTTAACCCAGGATCAATCCCTAGTACCACATATGGTCCCTAAAACACCTCCAGGAGTTATCCCAGAGCACAAACTAAAGAGTATCCATGAGTGCTTCTCTGTGTGTCCCAAAACCAAAAGAATTACTCTCAAGCAATCTCCAGATTCCAGACTTAATTATTCACTTACAAATTCACAAGTATTCCTCAGTACAAAACACTATACTGGTTATATAGCAAATGTTTTAAGTTAAATGAATGCTTAATAGACAACCAATTATATAAAAAGGAAATTATAAAAGCTGCAAATGTTTGAATTATCTTTCATTAAAGATATAGAGAGTATATTTTCAGGGAACAAGTGAGTTATCTAGTTGCTACCTTATAAAATATTTTAAATTATTAACTTAAATAGCTAAAAAATAATTCCTATAAAACTTGTTTAAAAATGTTTACTACATATATGAAATTTATAGTTTATTTATTCTGCTTCAATACTTGCTTTTCTCTTCAATTTTTCAGGGATTAAAGTGCATGGTTTCTCAGCAAGTAAAATTTCACAAGCTGCATTATCTATAAATAAAAATATCTCTTAGTCGATTTAACCTGTTATTAACTAAGTACAGAAACAACTCAAATTTGAAAAAATAATTTAAAACAAAATAAAGTCTGACTTTAATGACTGTGCCTTTGTAGTAGTTTTAAAAAGAAAAACCTAAATGTGTGATGAATAGTGTGACTTAATAACAAAATTATACTATTAAAATATTTTTAAAAGCACCAGTTTTCACAGGAATAAATTATATAGAAAATATTTTCTTTTTTGCAATATTTTTACTAGCATTTTAAACATACTTAGGTCTCTCTCATCTTACCAAAAACTACATTTGTGGCTCACGTTAGCAGTACATATACTAAAAATAGACATACAAAAAAAAAAATAAGCACACCCCCGCAAGGATAACATGCAAATTCAAGAAGTTTTCCATACTTAAAAAACGAACATAAAACCAATTTCTTCTGTACCTCATGACCCTTTCTGTGACATCCCAACTCTGCTCCTGTCCATGGACAAGCTTCCACAAAGAACTATCCAAGTACACTAATGTAGTATTCATTTAATATCTACAACAATAGACAATATGCTGCCTGCAGAGAACCCTTTCAGTTCTTTCCAAATAAGCAGAAGATCCCTTGCATCCCCAGCATCACTGGCCCTCAGATTAAAAGGAATGAGTACCTTCCCTCTCTAACCCTTTTATGGATTTCTTTTATTCTTGATTTTTTCCCTTCAATCTTCAACAAGTTTTTCTAAATCTTCAACAATCTTCAATAAAATCTTCAACAAAAATCTTCAACAAGTTTTTACTAAAACTTCAACCAGTTTTTACTCTGTAGAAAATTTAACCTATCATATGTACTTAATATTGCAAATTTGACTTTTATTTATATCATCAGTCCTTTTTTTTCTGGGTTCCCAAAAGGTGTTCAGTGGACTAGGCCAGTGGTCCATTGTGAGGGCAGAAGATATGGTCCTGCTCAGGCCCAGCAGTGCCTGGGATTATCCTGGACCACCCTGGCAGGGGCCTTCAGGCTGTATCTGGTGATATTTGGGGATCATATGGTGCCAGGGATTGAATTTGGGTCAGACATATTCAAGGCAAGTGCCTTAACCTCTGTACTTCCTCTCCATTCTCTGTAATGCCAGTATTTAAAGACTAAAACAGACAACAGTTTTCCCCTTTAGTTTCTATAGTAATTCATTTCCCTCCTTAGTCCACCACCCACACTGTAAACCTAAAATAGAAATTTAATTATCATCTGTTTAAAGCTATTCTGCTTAAAGGCTTTTCACTGCTCTCAGATTAAAATTCAAGCTATTATCTTGGCATCCCAAATCCTAATGTTTTATAATCCTTGTATTGTTTTTTTTTATTTAATCATTTTTTTATTAGTGAAACACCATGAAGTACATTTATAGACTTATAAATTTTTGTGCTTGGGTTTCAGTTATACAATGATCAAGTACCCATCCCTCCACCAGTGCCCATCCTCCCCCACCACGGGTCCTAGCATCCCTCCCACCCCCCATCCCCGCCCCCACCCCCCCCCGTCCCACCCTGCCGCTGTGGCAGGGCATTCCCCCTTGTTCTCTCTCTCTTCTTTTGGGTACTGTGTTTTGCCAGAGAGGCATTGAGTGGCAATCATGTTTGGTCTATAGACTACTTTTAGCATGTCTCTCCCACTCTGGGAGGGTCCTCACAACACCCTTTATTTGGTGCTCTCTTCTCTATTTGAGCTTCCTCTTCACCTAGCACATGTGGCTGGCCTTCAAGTCATGGAGCAAAATTCCTGATACTAATCTCAGCCATTCCTGGGTGTTAGTCTCCTTTTTTGTTGCTTTATGTTCCCCAGATGAATGCAATCTTTCTGTGTCTATCCCGCTCTTTCTGACTCATTTCGCTTAACATGGTACTTTCCATGTAGTACCACTTGTATGTAAATTTCATAACTTCATCTTTTCTAACAGCTACATAGTACTCCATTGTGTAAATGTACCAAAGTTTCTTTAACCAGTCATCTGTTCTCGGGCACTCAGGTTTTTTCCAGATTCTGGCTATTGTAAAGAGTGCTGCAATGAACAAACAATTGCAAAACTGGACGGCTACATGCAAAAAAGTGGGCTCAGATCTCTGCCTAACGCCATGCACAAAAGTAAGATAGAAATGGATTTATGACCTCAACATCAGACCGGAATCCATAATGTTTATTGAAGACAAAGTTGGCAAAACTCTCCACGATATTGAAGTTAGTGGTATCTTCAAAGATGTCACGCCACTGGCCGAGCAAGTGAAAACAGAGATAGACAAATGGGACTATCTTAAACTAAGAAGCTTCTGCACCTCAAAAGAAACAGTGACCAAAATACAAAGACAGCCTACAGAATGGGAAAGAATATTCACCAAATACACATCCGACAAGGGGTTGATATCAAGGATATACAAGGTACTGGTTAAACTACACAAGAAGAAATCACCCAACCCCATCAAAAAATGGGGCAAGGAAATGAACAGAAACTTTCGCAAAGAAGAAATCCGAATGGCAAAAAGGCACATGAGAAAATGCTCTACATCACTAATCATCAGAGAGATGCAGATCAAAACAACAATGAGATATCATTTCACACCACTGAGACTGGTCCACATCCACAAGAACAAAAGCAACAGGTGCTGGCGCGAATGTGGCGAGAAAGGGACCCTCCTTCACTGCTGGTGGAAATGCAGGTTGGTACAACCCTTTTGGAAAACAGTATGGACGATTCTCAAAAAATTAGAATTTGATCTCCCATTTGACCCAGCTATAGCACTCCTGGGAATATATCCCAGAGAGGCAAAAAGGTATAGTCGAAGTGACATCTGCAATTGTTTGTTCAATCCTTGTATTGTTTTAATTTTCTCTGTCTTTGCATATAAGTTTCAGAAAAAAAATTTAAATATGTACTACCCATGTGATAGTAAAAATCTGTATAAAATTTGGGACATATATTTTAAATTATTGGCACATATCTAAATTCACATTTGTTTTAGGTTTTGTGTTTTGGAGGTCTACACCTGGTAGTGAAGAAAGATGGTTATTCCTTGCTGTTTGCTCAGGAATGACCCTGGAGACAGTGCTCAGGGGAACTTATGCAATACCAGAGATATATCAGAGTCAGAGCAGTGGGAGACACATGTAGTGCAAGTGCATCCCCTCCTGTCTTATTTCTCTGACTCCCTGAATTCAAATTTAACTGAACAGTCTCAATTTTTTTTGCTGCTAAATCTGTTTATCCTTGAGGTTAGTCACTCCTCTCACCTTCAGATCCCAAGGTAGAGATACAATAGATGTGAGAGGTCCATAGGAGATAAAATGGGCATCAATATTTGATAATAAATTAGATATGCAAATCAACAAAGAAGGTGCTGAGAATGATTTCTAAGTATCTGTTTGCTAAGCTACATCTGCTATGACAGAAAACAGAAAAGGTCTAATTTAGGACTTGGTTATGGCATTTTTCAGCTCTTTGTTATATTTACTTCTTGGTAACTTTCATTATAGCTACTTATAAATTTGGAGTGTTCCATTTATAACTTTTTTCTTTTGTTTTGGGGCTACAACCAATGGTGCTCCAGGCTTACTCTGGACTCCGGACTCAGAGATCACTCGTGATGGGCTTAGAGGACCATATGGGGTGAGGAATCCTTGTCATATGCAAGGCAAACTCCCTACCCACTGTACTATTTCTCTGGTTCCTACATCATTTTTGCATGTACCTTTTCCATTTATTTTAGTGCCTAGGTAGCATTATTAGTCTACGGCTTCAAAACATATAGCCCTAATCTTGATTCTGAACTCGACTCTATCACACATTACTTTCTTGACATCCTTACTTGAAGATGCATAAACTCTTGATTTGGAGGAGGGGACACATCTCATAAGCAATACTAAAGGAAGCCCAGATATAACTGGCGAACTGGGCCACAGGACTCAATGCTCAGGCCTGGTGATGCAGTGTTACTCACCTTCAGCAGTGCTTGAGAGAATATTTATGTCAAGGATAGAACTTGGGGCTTCCACATGTCAGGAATACAGAGTATCTCAATTTTTAAATATTTTTTCTGATTTATTTAAATATTTTATTGAATTATGCCAATAAAATATTTATTGAATTATTCCACCATGTAGAAATGGGAATAATTTGCAAATGAATATATAATATCACCCATATCAAGATATCAAATATTTTCAACACCCCAGAAACTTCTTATACATTCTATCCCAACTAGCACTTACTTTTCCAAAAATCACCACTATTTTTTTTTTCCCTTTATTTTATTTTATTTTTTTTAAAGTTGTAGATTTACAATTTTTTGTGCTTTGGTTTCAATTATACAATGATCAGATACCCATCCCTCCACCAGTGCCCATTTTCCACCACCATGGATAATATCCCTCCCACCCCCATCCCCCCATCCCCCCGTCTCTGTGGCAGGGCAATCCCCTGTGTTCTCTCTCTCCTTTTGGGTGTTTTGGTCTGCAAAAGAGGCATTGAGTGGCAAACATGTTCAGTCCATAGTCTACTTTCGACATGCATCTCCCCTCCTGGGAGGATCCTCCAAACATCCTTTATTTGGTGCTCCCTTCTCTATCTGAATAGCCCTTTCCTCTAGGATACCCGGCTGGCCTCTAAGTTATGGAGTAATCCTCCTAAATCACCACTATTTTGACTTCAACAACCCTGAAGATTCTTTCCTGTTCTTGAACTTCATATGTATTTAATTTGTATTACATACATATGTGTGACTGCAGTCTTTCAGGCAAAGATATATACACGAGCTTACAGATCAAACTAAGTATGTCTAAACCAATTCTCTTCATTGTTATCCCAACTTGTTCTATGCTGTAATGTTCATCTCTCAAGAAATGATAATCAGCATTCATCTGGTTATTGAAACCATTAAGTTAAGATGCATCTTCAAATTCTATTTTTCTCTTATCCAATATTCAATCTAATCAGAAAATTGGTCCTCAAATGATATTCAGAACTAAGATCACTACCACCATTTTAGCCTCAAACACCATTATCTGACAATTGAGATCTAAAAGTTGTCATTGCTTCCACTCTTGCTTCCTTAGTCTATTCTGAAATATTCAGATGTTCTTGTCCTCTATTCTTCTCAGCACATTTAGAATAAAATCTATGCCTTAGGATGGAACACAAGACTCATGACATATGAATACCTCAAACTGAATGAGTTTCATTCATTCATTCATTCATTCATTCATTGTTTTATTCACTTTGTTCCAGTAACATTAACCTTTTTCCTCATCTTCAAACAAATCAAGCATATTCCCTCCCCTTTTCATTTTTTTCCCTTTGCTCTACCCCAGAATTCTTACACAGACTATCCTCTCCTTCTTATAACTTTTATTTCTAATTCAGTTACTCATTTACAATTCTATTACTTTTGTTTGTTTGTTTTTGTTTGGAAACCATGCAAAGAGGTACTCAGGGCTTGTTCCTGGCACTGCACTCAAAAATCACTCCTGGTTGAGAGTAGAGGAACATATGTGGTACCAAGAATCAAACCCAGGTAAGCTGTATGCAATATAAGTGCTATACCTGCTGTGCTTTCACTCTGGCCCATTATCCATTTCTTACTCAACTATAACAAAAGTTACGTTAGGGCAAGGACTTTTTCACATTCCTCAGCAGCTACAATTTGTGTGACCTTATAGGTAGCAGCTTCAGAAGGCAGCTGCGTATAAGGAATCAGAAGCAAAATCAGAAATTCCTCATTTATCCTCTAAAATAGATGCTATAAAACTTGCTTCGATTTTTTAATAAAATATGAGTGTCTTTTTATTTTATTTTTGTATCAGGGCCACAATTAGAGGTGCTCGGGGCTTACCCCTATCTCTGAGCTCAAGGATCATGCCTGGCAGAACTCAGGGGACTATATGGGATTCCAGGGATCAAACCCAGGTCAGCTTCATGCAAGGCAAGCACCCTACCTGTTGTACTATTGCTCCATCCCTGAGCTTTGTTTTTAAAGGATACAAATATTATGCTTAATATATTCTAAAGATAAACTAAATAATAAAGTGCCTAAAATGTAAATCACTTTTGTTGATGTTTTTATTTCACGATCATCACCTGTATCTCCAATACTCTACTTACTATATTCCTGTCCTCCAACTGAAACCTATGGGGGCAGAGAAATATATCACTCTCCAGTGGTATATGTAGTAATGCCTTGAATAGAGTTCACACTCTGTAACTCTTTATTATATAATTTATGATGGGTGCTGTGGGGATTATGAAGACCCACTTTGTAGTTTTGTTTCTTTGGGTATATGGGTCATATTCATCATGAATCACGGAGTCAAAAGTGACTCCTGGCAGGACCCAAGGAAACATTTGGTGTCAGGGACTGAACCTGGGTTTCCCGCATGCAAAGCATGTGCTCAACCCATTGAGCTATATCTTCAGCCCTAACTCATTCTTGTTTTAGTTTTTATTTTTCAGTGCTGGAGATGGATCTCAGGTCTCATGTATACACAGCATGAGTTTTACCACTAAACCACATCCTCAGCCTCAAGACCCACTTTCTAACACCACATGTGCTGATTTTTTTTAAAGGATAATTAAGTTAAAATGTACCCAGTTTCCTCAATTACCAATTTTCTATATACTATAGAGGCAAGAACAAACACAAAATTATGAAAATGATTAATGCTGTTATTTATTACCTGACTCAGGATTTGAAGTACTCTTTGGTTTTGAAGAAACATTTTGGTCTGCCAATGTTATTGTCACTCTAAAATAAGAACAAATAGTATTCTCTTAATTTTAAGAAGCTTTTAAGAATTCTCAAATGTACTTAAAATATAGTCAGTTATATGCAATCAATTATCCTGAAAAAAAAAACAAAATTGGTCAGGAAAAAGTATTTTCTTGATGACAAAATAGTTTAGTAATAAAATGCAATATATTTATGCAGTTTTCAGTGTGATGCAACATATATGGAGGACAAAGAAAAATGTCTTGGATCAGAAAGAATTGGACTTTTAAAAAAATAATAAATGCAATGCCTTTTTTTTCTAACCAAGTCCTTTTTTTTTTTTTTTAGATTTTATTATTGAATCTCCTAGACTCTGCCATCACTGTCACACTGTCACTGTCACTGTCCTCCCGTTGTTCATCAATTTACTTGAGTGGGCCCAGTAACGTCTCCATTAGCAATAGCACAGCGGTAGGGCATTTGCCTTGAGCGCAGCAAGCCAAGTGGAGCCTGGTTCGATTCCTCCACCCCTCTTGGAGAGCCTGGCAACCTACCAAGAGTATCTCATCTCGCCCGCACGGCAAAGCCTGGCAAGCTATCTGTGATGTATTCAATATGCCAAACACAGTAACAAGTCTCAAAACGGACACCTTACTGGGCCAACTCGAGCAAATCGATGAACAATGGAAGGACAGTGGACAGTGAACAGTAGATTATTGAATCACTGTTAGACAGATCTTTACAAAGCTGTTCATGATTAGGTTTCAGGCATGCAGTGACATCCATTCCTCCACCAGTGTGTATTTCTCAGCGCCAGTGTCCCCAGTTTCCCTCCCATCGCCTCCCTCCCACCTGCTTCTTTGGCAGGCTCTCTCTCTCTCTCTCTCTCTCTCTCTCTCTCTCTCTCTCTCTCTCTGTCTCATTCTTTCTTTCCTTTTGGGCATTGTGGTATCCAATCCTGAAAAGTTTGCTGGTATATCCCTTTACCTACAGAACTGGACTTAAAGTCCATTTTTGCTATTGACACTTGAAGAGGCATTGGAAAATTTACTAAGCCTGCCTTGAATCCTGGTTACCTCATTTATGTGAAAAGATCAAGAAACAACAATCTTGTTTTCCAGACTCTTACTATAAAAAACACAAGTAATTGGGAGACATTTTTTCTTTGCTGTATTTCTGTTTTTTAGGAAGGGTGTTTTTCATCATGGTCACATGTTTTATGAGTACTTATTCACACTTTCTTCAAAAGCTGTTATAGCATGTCCACCACCATAGTGCCAAAAATCCACCAATTATTAGACCCTCCCACATCGACCTTTTGTGCCCCCCCCACACTCTCTACCTTTATCAATCTCAGTTCTGAAGCATGAATTCAAGTGTTACTTTTCTATTCCCTTGCTTTATTTCTTTATATCCAACATGAGTGAGATCAATTGGCATTTCTTTTATTATTTTTAGCACAATAACCTTTAATTTCATCCTTGTTATTTCATATTTATGGATTTTATCCATTTTATAATTAAGTAGCATATCATGTATACAAATGTATATACACATATCTTCTTTACTCTTTCAATGTTGGTGTAATTGGTTTGTTTCATATCTTGACTACTGGTTTATTTTTGGTTTGGGGGCCACATTCAGCAGTGTTCCGAGCTTATTCTTGGATTTGTGCCCAGGGATAACTTGTAGTTAGGCTTGGGGGACAATGTGTTGGTGCAGGGATTGAACCACACTAGCTCTGTGCAAAACAAGTGGTTTAAGGAACACAATGGAAAAACTGATCAACAAAATTATGTTGGTGAGGGAGAGGTTAGAAAAGAGGACACTTGAAGTCCTTGGGGGAGGGAGATGAGCACATTGGTGATGGGTGTGGTGTGGAATTATGTGCATGAGAAGCCATTACTAACAGTGTTGTAAACAACAGAACCTCAATCAATTTAAAAAATCAATATATAAAATTTTAAAAACATAAAACCTAATCCCTGTACTATCTCTCTCTGCTAACATAGCTTAACTATTGCAAATAATGCAGCAATAAAAAGGAAATGCATATCTTAATTTTAATTAATACTTTTATATTAGTCAGATAAGTATCTAAAATTAAAATTGTTAGATCATATATTAAGTCTTATTTTAGCATTCTGAGAAATTTTTATACTGATTTCCAAGTTTACATTTCTACTAGAAAGTTTCCTTTTTTCTCCATACCTCATAACCATCTGTTGTTTCTGGTTTTTATGATGTAGTCTATTCTCATATATGTGAGAATTATTATAGTTTTAATTTTCATCTCCCTGATAACAAGTAATTTGAGCATTTTTCATGTATTTGTTTACCATTTTAGGCAAGACATAATTTTTTTGTGTTTATACTTTTTTTAATAATTTTTATTAGTGAAACACCATGAGGTACAGTTTTTGTGCTTGGGTTTCGATTATACACTGATCAAATACCCATCCCTCCATCAGTGCCTATTTTCCACCACCATGGATCCCAGTATCCCTCCCACCCCCAACCTCCCCCATCCCACCCTGCCTCTGTGGCAGAGCATTCCCTTTTGTTCTTACTCTCCTTTTGAGTGTTGTGGTTTGCAAAAGAGATATTGAGTGGTAATCATGTTCGGTACATAGTCTACTTTCAACATGCATCTCCCATCCTGGGAGGATCCTCCAAACACCCTTTATTTGGTGCTCCCTTCTTTATCTGAGCTGCCCTTTCCCCTAGAATGCCCGGCTGGCCTCTAAGCCATGGAGTAATTCTCCTGGTACTGATCTCGGCTATTCTTGGGTATTAATCTCCTATTTTGTTACTTTATGTTCCCCAGATGAATGCAATCTTTTTATGTCTATCCCTCTCTTTCTGACTCATTTTTCTTAGCATGATACTTTCCATGTAGTACCATTTGTATGTAAATTTTATGACTTTATCTTTTCTAACAGCTATATAGTACTCCATTGTGTAGATGTACCAAAGTTTCTTTAACCAGTTATCTGTTCTTGGGCACTCAGGTTTTTTCCAGATTCTGGCTATTGTAAAGAGTGCTGCAATGAACAAACAAGTGCAGAAGGACATAATATTTTTAACGAATCTTTTCTCCTTTACACATTCACAAATAAGTGAATATTATACACATATGTTGAGAAGATTAGTTGTTTTATAAGAAGGATACAGAAAAGTATGGCCACTCCCTGAGTTAGACTGGTATCAGTGATCTTTTTGCTAAAAATGACCTTGCTGTTGTAGATGTCAGAATTGTTGTATCTAGGAAGTTTGGTTATGTGGATTTTGAATCTGCTGAAGACTTGGGAAAAAGTATTGGAACTTACTGGTTTAAAAATGTTTGGCAATGAAATTAAACTAGAAAAGCCAAAGGGAAAAGACACTAAGAAAGATCAAGATGCAAGGACACTTCTGGCTAAAAATCCGCCTTACAAAGTTACTCAGGATGAATTAAAGGAAATACTTGAAGATGCTATGGAGATCAGACTAGTCAGCAAAGATGGGAAGTGTAAAGGGATTGCTTACATTGAATTTAAAATAGAAGCTGATGCAGAGAAAACATTAGAAGTAATCTGAGCATTTTTGTGTATTTGTTGACCATTTTACAAAAACAGGGAACAGAGACAGATGGACGGTCCATTTCCCTCTACTACACTGGAGAAAAGGGTCAAAATCAGGACTACAGAGGTGGAAAGAATAGCACTTGGAGTGGTGAGTCCAAAACCCTAGTTTTAAGCAACCTTTCCTATAGCATAACAGAAGAAACACTTCAAGAAGTATTTGAGAAGGCAACTTTTAGCAAAGTGCCCCAAAACCAAAATGGCAAATCTAAACCATATACATTTATAGCTTGCCTCATTTGAAGATGCTAAGGAAGCTTTAAATTCATATAATAAAAGAGAAATTGAGGGCAGAGCAATCAGGCTGGAGTTGCAAGGACCCAGGGGATCACCCAATTCAAGAGGTCATCCATCCAAAACATTGTCAAAGTTTAATCTGAGGAAACCACAGAGGAGACATTGGAAGAGTCGTTTGATGGCTCCATTAGGGCAAGAATAGTCGCTGACTGGGAAACTGACTCCTTCAAAGGTTCGGTTTTGTAGATTTCAACAGTGAGGAAGATGCCAAAGCTGCCAAGAAGGCCAAGGAAGATGGAGAGATTGATGGAAACAAAGTTACTTTGGACTGGGCCAAGCCTAAGGGTGAAGGTGGTTTTGGTGGTCGTGGTGGAGGTCAAGGTGGCTTTGGCGACCAAGGTGGTGGCAGAGGTTGAGGAAGTTTTGGAGGCCTAGAAGGCTTCCGAAAAGTCAGAGGAGGAGGAGGAGATCACAAACCACAAGGAAAGAAGATGAAATTTGAATAGTTTATTCTATCTCTCATTTTTTCCTTCCATTTGAAAGGACTCTGAGGTTTTTACTCACAAATTAGTTCAGATAAGTGTTAGCTCTATCACTCATCTCTTTAAACAGTTTATATGAATATCCAGTCAAAACCAACAGTATTCTCCCTTGAAATGTTATCTATTCTGATTTCCAAGTAGACCACAGGACTGTATACTGTTTTGGAATGTCCTCAGAAGGCTCTGTCATTGATCAGGTAACAGAGTAAAAACCTCATCCTGTTTTTGTAGGGCCCAGGTCTCTGAGGCATATGTTAATGCAGGAAGAATGGTGGAGTCTAAGAGATGTGACCAGAGCCAGAGGTTCTTCATCCTCTTAGCTATTTCTGTGATGCTCTTAGAAGGCATTCCAAGCTGCTCTCTTCCTCCTGTGCAGCTCAGGTGCCAGGTCGTTCATCATGTTGAGCTCTCGACCTAGGTACACATAACTGCTGCATTCAGAGATGTTCACTTCATTGAGAGCAAATAGAATGTCAGGAAAAATTTGTTTCTCATAAACATTGTCTTGGTGAGATTCAACTGCAGTCTGACCTTTCCACACTCACAATCCAAGTCGGTCAGCATTTATGCTGCTTGGCTGATGTTTGTTGTTATTAGAATGATGCCATCAGCGAAGCAGAGGTGGTATAGTTGC